GATAACTTTATAATTTTGTAGCACAACTTCTACGAGTTACTAATAAAAGGTGTTTATTAATAAATTTAATAATGTATAGGCACTTAAAGTCAACTTTTTCAACGTTATTGCTAATGATAATTGGATTGTTTTTGATCCTATGGGTCACTTATCAAAAAAATCTCAAAAAAACATAGGATTGAGGGCAGCGCATCAGCTTTCAAAGTGTCGCACACAAAGTATGTGTTTTATTTATGTGCGTGTGTTTTTTGATACTGCTCCGAAAAATTTAAGACCACCCAAGTTTTTCCTCACAGAAAAGTGATGACTTTCAATGGTTATGCGAAAACTTATACTGTGGTCATATAATTTTTTTTAGGAGGATATATTGTTTTACTGAATAAAAACAAATGAAAATTTGAAACATTCATAACAAAACATTATCAAGCTAACAAGACCTAGTTATATAGCTTCTAAAACTTTAATATATTTTAAGATCATGATAAAATACTATTTTTCATCTCAACTATAAGAATAAAACTGTTCATAGTAAGGAAAAATATTCTTTTAAACAAAGTTGTTTTATTTTGTTCTGATTAATTAACAAAAAGAATTAAGCCTATGTTGTAAATTAACTTACTGTAATTAAAAAAACAACCAAAACGATCTTTTACTTACTATTGATTTTGTACGTTCAGGTCTTTCAGAAACTGGTGGAGGTGGTGGAGAATCATCTTCTTGTTCAGAACTAGTTGCGCAAGCATCTGTTGGTGTACTACTCGGACTGCTGCTGCTTAATCTACGAAATAATTTTATGAAAATGTGGTTTTAAAGTAATTCAAATAGAAAATATTAAAAGTTATAAGTAAAAAGAGAATACTGAGATCTTACGGCAAGGTTTTGAAAATTCACAATTTGTTTATCAATACATTTTCTACAGGTAGTCAAAATAAGATTCCAAATTATTGTATTAAAATTTGATCACAGTTTAAGAGAATAGCAAGCCCCTCGAATCTCATTAAAAGAAGACAGATCCTCTTCCAATACTATTACGACGACGACGACGACAGCTGAACTGTACTCGATGTCTTTATTGTTTGCAAATAAAGAATCATTATTTGATACATTTATTTAACTAATACAACGTAACATAATAGAAATAAGAAATTAAAGAAATAAAAAGCTAAGGGCCAATTTATTGGTAGAGATTTTTTTGATAGCTACAACGATTTATTTAAGAAATCAGTAGAATCTCAGCTGACTATAAAATGATTTTATATCAATACCGCCCGAAATTTTATTATTATTATAATTATTATTATGATTATCACCATTATTATTATTTTTTTTTGTATTTGGTTTAAAATCAAACGGTCAGATAGCAAATAAAAATTTATATTATAATAATGTTTGATTACACTGTCTAAAAGAGATAACACAAATATTTTTGTACAAGATATTAGTAGG